TCTCTCTCTCTCTCTCTCTCTCTCTCTCTCTCTCTCTCTCTCTCACACACACACACACACACACACACACACACACACACACACACACACACACACACACACACAATCTATCAATCTGTGCCTGACCACCACCACGGAATTGCCCGAAGAAGAAGAAGAAGAAGAAGAAGAAGAAGAAGAAGAAGAAGAAGAAGAAGAAAAAGAAAATGAAACAGCAAAGAAAAAAAAAACAGAGCAAAAAAGAAGAACAAAAAGAAGAAGGGAAAAAAAAAAACCAGCAAGGAAGAAGAAGAAGAAGAATAAGAAAAAAAAAAAGCAAAGAAGAAGAAGAAGAAGAAGATGAAGAAGATGAAGAAGCAAAGAAGAAAAAGAAGAACAAAAAGAAGAAGATGAAGGGAAAAAAAAAAACAGCAAGGAAGAACAAGAAGAAGAAGAAGAAAAATAAGGAAAAAAAAAAACACAGCAGCGGCCAATTTGCTCGCAGCCTAGGCCGTGGGTGTTACATAGGTTACACTGTAAGCTCATGACAGCATCAGTGTGCCTACCATTGCATGCAACTTTGAGATGTGTTTAGATAGTTGTGGGAAAACTAGGGCACAGTCAAAGGTTTTCAGTTTGAAATGCATTCAGTCATGGTTTCGTGAATTTTGCTCGCAATTTGCTTCAAGGCGTGCTCAAATTTTCTGTTTCTCGAGGGCTACTGCAGGGGCAAGAACAGGTATAGTCGCAAACACACAAGCAGGTGTGCCATGTACGGTAGGAGAAAATGGGCAGTAGGATGAGGCAGATAGAATCCATAATCACATTGTCCAGGCCAGACATAGGGCACAGGGAGAATTCAAATGAGAGAAAGGGATTATAGTACAGCCTCTACAGATACCACAAAGTTTTCTTTTTTCTTTTTTTTAAGACCATAAAGTTTGAGACCCAATCACAGACAAAAGAATGATCATAAATTATAATGAAACATTGCATTATGCACTTATAGTCTTATTGGCTAGTATTTACACACGGTGCTGTCACGGACGGAATGCCCTGAACGGTTCGTTTCAGGAGTGTCCTCTCTCCGATTGCAAGTCGGATCATTGCACCAGACGATGAACTACAGGGCACTACTGTCCATTGATACAGCTAGTCTCGGTCAGGATCAAAAGAACCCGTGATCAAACAGTGATTCCCCCCCCGGCCTGCCAAAGATTCTCAAGGAAAAGTTAGAAGCAATCTCTAAAGAACGACTACTATGTACTAAGTACTAGTGTCTCGGACTGTATACATCTAAGATCCAGGGACGAAGTTCTGGGCGTAGGCCCAGGCATTGTTGGCGACTGGGTCGGCCAGATGGTCGTTCAGGTTCTCCAACGGTCCCTTGCCGGTGACGATGGCCTGGACGAAGAAGCCGAACATGGAGAACATGGCTAAGCGGCCATTCTTGAGCTCCTTAACCTTCAGCTCAGCGAGGGCCTCGGGGTCATCGGCCAAGCCCAAGGGGTCGAAGCTGCCGCCTGGGTAGAGGGGGTCCACCACCTCTCCGAGTGGCCCGCCGTTCACTCTGTAGCCCTCGACGGCGCCCATGAGCACAACCTGGCAGGCCCAGATGGCCAAGATGCTCTGAGCGTGGACGAGGTTGGGGTTGCCCAAGTAGTCCAGCCCACCCTCGGAGAAGATCTGAGCGCCGGCCTTGAACCACACAGCCTCGCCGAACTTGACGCCGTTGTTGGCCAACAGCTCCGGAGTGAGGCAGCCGAGCGCGCCGAGCATGGCCCAGCGGGCGTGGATGACCTCCAACTCCCTGTTGCGAGCGAACGTCTCGGGGTCCGCGGACAGTCCAGCGGTGTCCCAGCCGTAGTCGCCGGGGAACTCGCCAGTCAAGTACGACGGAGTCTCACCGGACAACGGGCCCAGGTACTTGGGGCGGTCGGCGCCATACCTGCAAATTGAATGCAATGCACACACCAACACAAACATAAACAAATATTAGACCGCGACAAACGACCACCACACGTACTGATATGAAATGAATGAACCCTCAGCATGTACAAAAGATGCACCTACCAAGCACAAGGAGCCGAAAAAATAATGAACCCACCCACAAGGGAAAGATCATGAGGCAAGTCCCTCCCTCCCTCCAGAATGGCTCCATCAAGGGGAAACTATGCAGTAGTCACAAAAATGAGTTATAATTGCACTATGGGCCAGGATACAGTTTTGAATTGCACTTCGGTCAATGTATACAACCCAGCTTTCTGTCCAGGTAGGGTGCCCCAAGAGCAATTGCAAACTGTATCTTGCCCCATGGTGCAATTATAACTACTCCTTTTTGCGACTCTACTGAAGTTACCCTCTGAATCAATGGTACGCAGATGTACCAACTGATGATCTGCTGCTGATCACTAGTCTCCACATCCTATCATAGGCGCAATGAACTCAGGGAGGAAAAGAAAAACCAGAAAAACGAAAGCTTTAGCCCACCAATAGATGGAGCTCCCCCTAGCCTCCTAGGTGCTAGGGGTGTCTGCTTTTACCAGCACCACTAGCTAGCACTGGAGGCCCGCGGAGGGGGTCCTTTTTTGTTCAAAAAACAAAGAAAAAAAGAGGTGAAGCAACACACGCAGAGCAGAGCGTCAAGATGGAGAGGGTAGAGTGAACAAGATCACATCATGCACATGATGAAAGAGAGACAAACCAAGGCACGAACTCAATCCATCCGAGGTTTACGACTCCAATCTGGAGGAGTAAGCGAAAGCTTAGCGCCGTAAAGAAACGGTCTCACGTCAAGTACATGCTTGTGTGTGTGTGTGTGTGTGTGTGTTGTGTGTGTGTGTGTGTTGTGTGTGTGTGTGTGTGTGTGTGTGTGTG